ATATATTTATAGATGGGGTTGTAAGAGAAGTAAATGGGAGGGTCTTGACAAGGGGTGTGGAGTTAAAAGATAAAGAATCACACATAAAGTGGGAGTTGTCACAGTTGCTCTTTGCTGATGACACTGTGCTCTTGGGAGATTCTGAAGAGAAGTTGCAGAGATTGGTGGATGAATTTGGTAGGGTGTGCAAAAGAAGAAAATTAAAAGTGAATACAGGAAAGAGTAAGGTTATGAGGATAACAAAAATATTAGGTGATGAAAGATTGGATATCAGATTGGAGGGAGAGAGTATGGAGGAGGTGAATGTATTCAGATATTTGGGAGTGGACGTGTACAGCGGATGGGTCTATGAAGGATGGGGTGAATCATAGAATTGATGAGGGGAAAAGGGTGAGTGGTGCACTTAGGAGTCTGTGGAGACAAAGAACTTTGTCCTTGGAGGCAAAGAGGGGAATGTATGAGAGTATAGTTTTACCAACACTCTTATATGGGTGTGAAGCATGGTGATGAATGTTGCAGTGAGGAGAAGGCTGGAGGCAGTGGAGATGTCATGTCTGAGGGCAATGTGTGGTGTGAATATAATGCAGAGAATTCGTAGTTTGGAAGTTAGGAGGAGGAGCGGGATTACCAAAACTGTTGTCCAGAGGGCTGAGGAAGGGTTGTTGAGGTGGTTCGGACATGTAGAGAGAATGGAGCGAAACAGAATGACTTCAAGAGTGTATCAGTCTGTAGTGGAAGGAAGGCGGGGTAGGGGTCGGCCTAGGAAAGGTTGGAGGGAGGGGGTAAAGGAGGTTTTGTGTGCGAGGGGCTTGGACTTCCAGCAGGCGTGCGTGAGCGTGTTTGATAGGAGTGAATGGAGACAAACGGTTTTTAATACTTGACGTGCTGTTGGAGTGTGAGCAAGGTAACATTTATGAAGGGGTTCAGGGAAACCGGCAGGCCGGACTTGAGTCCTGGAGATGGGAAGTACAGTGCCTGCACTCTGAAGGAGGGGTGTTAATGTTGCAGTTTAAAAACTGTAGTGTAAAGCACCCTTCTGGCAAGACAGTGATGGAGTGAATGATGGTGAAAGTTTTTCTTTTTCGGGCCACCCTGCCTTGGTGGGAATTGGCCAGTGTGATAATAAAAAAAAATAAAAAAATAATAAAGGTAAAGTTATAATGCAATAAAAGTTGGAAGCACAAAAATTAAGCAAGCAAAACATAACAGTAACATCTTAACCCTTTGACTGTTTTCGACGTATAAATACGTCTTACGAGCCAATGTTTCTGACGTATATATACTCAATAATTCTAGCGGCTTCAAATCAAGTGGGAGAAAGCTGGTAGGCCCACATGTGAGAGAATGGGTCTGTGTGGTCAGTGTGCACCACATAAAAAAAATCCTGCAGCACACATTGCGTAATGAGAAAAAAAAACTCTGATCGTTTTTTTGGAATAAAACACCGACTTTGAGGTGTATTTTCGTATAGTATTTATCGTTGTATTCGCGTTTTCATGGTCTTAGGTGATAAAATGGAAAACATATTACAGAAATAGAGATGATTTTCATTACTTTGATGATGATAACGACCTTGAAAGTGAGCTCAAAGTAGCGGAAATGTTCGATTTTTACCAATGTTCAGGAGTAAATAAATCACACCACACGTCCAATACACATCAACTGGGGAGCCTAATATTCTTTCACTAGTGCACTGATATTATTTATACCATTTTTACAATAATGCAGTAGTCTGCATAACAGTAAATTTTGTATTTTTTTGTATGAATAAAAAATCAAAATAGAAAGCAATAATAATATAAGAGGGGCCTAGAGATGTGACTAATGAACAGAGCATATGTTATTTTAGTGCCACGAATGTCTACCTTGTTTATTCTGGACCCTATTTTGAAATTGGCGTCTTTTTTAGTTTGCGTGAAATTGGCCAAATTGCCAATTTCTGACTACCATATTGAGTAGTCCAAATTAGTAAATGGGAGGTTTCTTGTACTCAGCTGATAGATAAAATGGAGTTCTAAAGAAATAGCTATGAGTTTGGTAAACTGGAAGAATGGAATTGGCTGAAAATAGGGCTCAAATTTGGCAAAATCGCCGATACGCATATGTCGCCGAGACCACTAACTTGGCGGGAGCATAATTCCATGTGTTTTCGATCAAATCTCGAACTTTTGGTGTCATTACCATCGGGACAAGATTCTCTATCATTTCATAAGAAAAAATAATTTTTTTTTTTTTCAAAAAATGAGCGGCATAGAATGACAGTTTCAGAAAGGGGCCCGAAACAGTCAAAGGTTAACACATAACATCCATGCAAGAAGAGAGCAAGTCCAATTCCTTGAATCAAGGGCTTCTCACCTGAGAAAAATACTCTCCATAACCAGGAATCTTCCACAAAGTGTGAAATTATTGCCATCTAATTTTGTCCAAAGTGTGAAGTTCTTACAAATCAAAATGTAATAACTTAATGTTTTATAAGTTAACTTGCATGGACTTGTAAATGCCCATGAGAAGTTTATTTATTTATTTATTAATTTGAACATGATACAGAGAAGTACAAAAGAATACATTTAAATGCACCATGCCAAAGCCACTTGAATGCACAGCATTACGGGCAGGTTTAAAATTAACTTAAGATTAACTAAGCAGTGAAGTATTCAGTGGTAAAACATTATTGTAAACAGATAACAAGCACAAATGAGTATTACAAAAACAGGTCGTATGGTTGCAAGCATTGCTGTACAAACAGTATTTATTTATTTATTTATTTATTTATTTAATTTGAACATGATACAGAGAAGTACAAGGAATACAATTTTTAAAGTGCAGCATGCAAAAGCCCCTTGTATGCAGAGCATTATGGGCAGGCTTAAAATTAACTTAAGATTAACTAAGCAATAATATATTCAGTGGTACAAAAATTATTGTAAAACAGATAACAATTTAGTACAAATGAGTATTACAAAGACAGGTCATATGGTCATTTACTGTGTTGCTGTGTAATCAGTAGAATGGAGTATTCTGTTAGGTAATGAAGTTAAATAGTAACAAAGTTTGATTGGGTCACAGGTTGACATTTATGAGATACAATAATGAGATACATATATGAGATACAATTTATGAGATACAATTATAGGGGGATAAGTCTGTTGAGTATACCTGGTAAAGTGTATGGTAGAGTTATAATTGAAAGAATTAAGAGTAAGACGGAGAATAGGATAGCAGATGAACAAGGAGGCTTTAGGAAAGGTAGGGGGTGTGTGGACCAGGTGTTTACAGTGAAACATATAAGTGAACAGTATTTAGATAAGGCTAAAGAGGTCTTTGTGGCATTTATGGATTTGGAAAAGGCGTATGACAGGGTGGATAGGGGGGCAATGTGGCAGATGTTGCAAGTGTATGGTGTAGGAGGTAGGTTACTGAAAGCAGTGAAGAGTTTTTACGAGGATAGTGAGGCTCAAGTTAGAGTATGTAGGAAAGAGGGAAAATTTTTTCCCAGTAAAAGTAGGCCTTAGACAAGGATGTGTGATGTCACCGTGGTTGTTTATTTATTTATAGATGGGGTTGTAAAAGAAGTAAATGCGAGGGTCTTGGCAAGAGGCGTGGAGTTAAAAGATAAAGAATCACACACAAAGTGGGAGTTGTCACAGCTGCTCTTTGCTGATGACACTGTGCTCTTGGGAGATTCTGAAGAGAAGTTGCAGAGATTGGTGGATGAATTTGGTAGGGTGTGCAAAAGAAGAAAAATTAAAGGTGAATACAGGAAAGAGTAAGGTTATGAGGATAACAAACAGATTAGGTGATGAAAGATTGGATATCAGATTGGAGGGAGAGAGTATGGAGGAGGTGAACGTATTCAGATATATTGGGATAAAAACATAGATTTTCTCTCATATCTGGGCCAAATTCCCCACCACGTTTATCAGAGGAGCGAGCTCATGGCGAGATCACGGTTTGGACACTCACTAAAAGCCGTGATCTACGGGACGGACCCTGAAAGGGTTAAAGAGTGTTGCAATGATTGGTGATAGCACCTGTGACACTTTTTTGTATATAATGGGTGGTAAGGTATTTAAATCTCCTGTCTTGTTTTTTGTTTGTTGATAATAAGGGAGACTTCAGTTTGGGTTTAGTCGGAGCTAGGAACAGTGTTTTCGGGTAGTTGTCATGAGGTAGTCATTGGGTGGGGTATCTGAGCTGGGATTTTATTGGCAAGGTTTTTTCTTATAGTGGAGAAGAAATCATTGAGTCTGTTTGCTGTTTCAGTAGGTGGGAATTGGGGTTTATCTGTTTTTGTTAATTCAATTTCGCTATTTCGTGTTATCTTTTTTGTTCCTAGTATTTCTGATAGGGTTTTCCAGGTCTTTTTTATGTCACCTCATAATTGGATAATCTGTTCTCATAATACAATTTTTTAGCCCTTCTTATTTGGCTGGTTAGGATTGACGAGTAACGTTTTGTTTGGTCTCTGGTTATGTGGCCCATTCTGTACTGTTTTTCCATCATAATAGATCATAATAGATATTAAACTGTTTGTTCTTGTTTATTTGTTATTAAACTACTAGAACAGTAACCTGCTCTCCTCAACACTTGATTTCAAGGCTGACTCAATTAATATTTTTTAACATAAAAATTGACTAAAAAAAAATAGTGTATGGTACATTATGCCAATACAGTGCTATTACTATTATAATAAATGGTAAACAGAGGTGATATGGTGCACAAGGAATGGGAGGCAATCATGACTGATCTGAAAAAAGAGAGAGGGAGAGAGAATCAATAGCGTTGCAGTAAACTACCCTCAGTTTAATGGAGTAATAAGTGGAGTGCGTGGCTGGTGATTGTGGTAGATTACTGTCATAGTAACAATAATGATTAATTGTACTAACAACAGACAAAGTTTACATGGGCAGTGGATTTTTACCAGTATTCCTAAATTCCTTTAAATCAAGGGTCTCTTATACATGTAAATACAAAGCTAATTCATTCAATTCTAGTCTTACCTGACTTGGATCGAGTAACATCAAAAGAGAAAGGAGTAGAGAAGTGTGCAGTGTGGATGCCATCCACATACCCCACTACACATGTGGAAGTCAACCCTTCACACTCTGTACCACAGTTTGTTCTCCAACCTGAAAATAATTGATATATGTCTTTACAATGATCATTGTGAAATGCACCAAGAATAAATTTACTGCATATTTTGCTTGATGACTTACCAAATCTTGCAAAATAATATTTTTTACTCAATGGAGTACTCAAAATTCCTGAGGATAAACTTTAACAATTAAAAAAAAATTTATGATAGGGTATTAAGCTCAGAGATACAGACTAAAGCAGATGATTAAGTTAACTATAAACAGTAGTCCAAGATAAATATGTTTAACCCTTTCAGGGTCCCCAGGGCCTCTCCGAGACTTGTTCTCAGGGTCCCCAAATTTAAAAAAAAAAATTTATTTTTCTTATGAAAAGATAGAGAATCCTTTCCTGATCATAAGGATGCCAAAAGTATGGAATTTGATGGAAAACTTACGGAATTATGCTCTCACAAAGTTAGCGGTCTGGACAATGTTTATGCATCGGCGATTTTGCCCACTTTGAGCCCTATTTTCAGGAATTCCAGTGTACTAGTCGACAAAAATCATAACTATTCCACTAGAACTCCATTTTTTTCTATCGAATGAGCACAAGAAAGCACTCATTTATCGATTTCAACTATCCAATAAAGTGGTCAGAATTTAGCAATTTTGCCAATTTCACACAAATTTCAAAAGATGTCAATCTCAGAATAGGGTCCAGAATAAACAAGAAAGACATTCCTGGCACTAAAATAACATTTCTTTTGTTCATTAGTCACGTCTCCATGCCCCTCTTACATTCTTTTGCTTTCCACTTTGAATTTTTATTCTCACAAAAAAAATAGATTTACTGTTATGCAGACTACTGCATTGGTGTAGAAATGGTATAAATATTATCAGCGCACTTGTGAAAGAATATTAGACTCACCAGTTGACATGTATTGGATGCGTGGCATGATTTGTTTACTTTTGAACTTTGGTAAAAATCGAACATTTTTGCTACTTTGAGCTCAATTTCAAGGTACTTTTCATTGTAAAACCAGTCAAAATCATCTCAATTTCTGTAATATGTCTTCCATTCTATAAAATGAGACCAGGAAAACTAGAATACAACAATAAATACCATACGAAAATACAGTGCAAAGTCGCTGTTTTAATCCAAAAACACGGTCAAAGTTTTTTTTTTCATTACACACTGTGTGCTGCAGGATTTTTTTATACTGTGCACACTGACCATGTAGACCCATTCTTTCATATGTAGGCCTACCAGCTTTCTCTCACTAGATCTGAGGGCACTAGAATTTAGGTGTACTAGTACGTCAAAAACCCTGGGGCGTAAGCTGTATGTACTAGTACGGCCAAAACCCTGAAAGGGTTAAAAAGAAAATACATTAATAATTTATAAGGAAGAAAGATGATCAGCCTCTATAACAACCTAAAAATCTCCATCCACTAGGAGATTACCACCTGTATAAACAAGAAGCAAGTGCCATCCCATTACTGATGACCAGAGATTATTTTTATATTTTAGTAACACATCGGTCGTTTACCACCAAGGCAGGGTGGCCCAGACTTAATTCCTGGAGATGGGAAGTACAGTGCCAGCACTCTGAAGGAGAAGTGCTAATGTTGCAGTTTTATAACTGTAGTGTAAGTGCACCTCTGGCAAGAGTGATGAAGTGAATGGTGATGAAAGTTTTTCTTTTTCAGGCCACCCTGCCTTGGTGGGAAATGGACGATGTGTTAATAAAATATAAAAATAATCTCTGGTCATCAGTAATAGGATGGCACTTGCTTCTTTTTGATACAGGTGGTAATATCCTAGTGGATGGAGATTTTTAGGTTGTTATAGAGGCTGATCATATCTATATCAGAGATATTACCTCTACATAACTTTAATATGATGTTTAATTAACATGCAGGTACTTACTCTTTTAATAACAGACTTTAGTCCATAAAATAACATTTGCTAAAGAAGTTTTTGTTCATAATTTACATGAATATAAATGGTATATACATTACAAGAAAAACTACTAGCTTTACAGAAGATTCTTGGGGAGGACCATAATTCATTCCTGGAATAGGATCCACCTGTATCTGTATCTTACATTCATGGTAATCAGTCTTCATAAGAGGGCTGATGACTTATAAAATGAACATAGTTGTGGGTTATCACGTATGTCCAGCACAGAGGTTCTATACAGTTTTAGAAATACAGGAGGGCCCAGTTTATTCGACACCCTCTTTTCAGTGTTCCATATTTTCGTTGACTTTCAACTGAACCATTGTTCATTATGTTTGGTGCTGTTATCACTTTTCTGTCTTTTTCTGCATAAGTTATATATAGAGTAGGTAGTAGGCTGGTAGACAGCACCCGCCCAGGGAGGTACTACTGTTCTGCCAAGTGAGTGTAAAATGAAAGCTTGTAATTGTTTTACATGATGGTAGGATTGCTGGTGTCCTTTCTTCTGTCTCATGGACATGCAAGATTTCAGGTATGTCTTGCTACTTCTACTTACACTTAGGTCACACTACACATACATATACAAGCATATATATACACACCCCTCTGGGTTTCCTGTTATTTTCTTTCTAGTTCTTGTTCTTGTTTATTTCCTCTTATCTACATGGGGAAGTGGAACAGAATTCTTCCTCCATAAGCCATGCATTTTGTACAAGGTGACTAAAATGCCGGGGGCAAGGGGCTAGTAACCCCTTCTCTTGTATAAATTACTAAATTTAAAAAGAGAAACTTTCGTTTTTCTTTTTGGCCACCGTGCCTCGGTGGGATATGGCCGGTTTGTTGAAAGAAGAAGTTATATATGGAAATGGCAACTGGCACCATATTTTAAGGTATGTATGTATTGTGTGTACTATGTATTTATTTTATTTTATCTGCAATTTTTATGCCTAGCTGCATTGAGCACTAATATATGACAGTGTAAACATGTTACCAGGTTTTTAGACACATTCGATAGTGAAAAAACAGGTGAAAAAACAGTGTTTTTTCACCTGCCAGCAAATTCTGCTTACTGCATGGGGTTGGCAACCTAAAAGCCATACAAATGGGACCCTACTGTAGAAATGACATTTCCCATGAGGCTAGGATGAAGTAAACTCAGCAAGTAGCAAATTAAGAGGCAGGGCCAGGAGTTGAGACTCAACCCTGTAAGGATAGACCCATGGGCCATGATGATACTTACCTACACACTGGACTAGTCATGGTACAGTTTCTCAACACTGGCACCAGATAACATGAGTAGCATATTAAAATATTTAATTTTCTGTTAGAATTTTAAAACTTTATTTCATTTAAAACATACATAAAAGATACAATGAATAGATCTGCAGTGAGTTGAACTACGGTTTGGTAATAATTATGAGATAAAAAAAAGTTACTCATTTTGCTAAGCATTTCAAACAACCTAATTACAAATCCTACAAACTATTTATTTTAGACCTTGTATACATATTTAGGCATTGTTTGACAATACAGCAACAGAACTCACAGGCATAATACTAGACACAATAATCTCCATGATATTCCCTGTGTCCAGATTAATCTTTGTAAACATTCAATGTGCATAAAAGAACCTAAAATTTGGAAAACTCTACCTGAAAACTCATCTCTCAACCTGCCAGCTGCTTCAAAGCTACTGTTAAAAAACACCTCCTTACCTTCATGTGATCCTAACAATTGATTATGCTGAACAATTTTTTCAACTTGTATTGCCCCTGTCCTTGTCTATCAGTACATCAACTCAGGTAGTACTTCAAAATCAAAAATCAAACTTTTATTTTTTTGCTAAGGTACAATGTGTGCTTACATTTCATAATTTGATTGGTACAAAGAAAGCCACTATCATGCCGAGGTATTTCAGGCAGACTTAATATTTATAGACTACTTAAGTCTAGACAGGTAAAGAGTGGTAGATTACAAATATTCAATATTTTACTCTATTATTACTATGAGGTAGTACAATTATGATACAAACATACAATTTTAAGTTTTTAACAGATAATAAAATATTTGGGAGAGTTGCTTTAAATTTGATTAGAGTTTAGCATAGTAAGTAAGTAAGTAAAGTTTATTTCTTTGTAAAGGTTACAATGCGTAATTACAATTTTGATTTGCTAAGTACAAAGATAGCCACTATCATGCCGAGGCATTTTGGGCAGACTAATCCTAATACATATTAACTAATTAAAACTAGATAAGATAATAGTACATAATAGCTATACTTAAAACTAGACAAGAAGAAGTGGTTAACTGTTTTACAATCTTACTTAAACTTAATACAAATGAGAGGTAGTAAGGTGGAGTAGGGTTCGGTAAAATAATCTTGAGATTGCACACAAAATCTACCTTGCAAGTATGTAATGCTTCAGGCGGCAATATTTTATGGATTGGCAGAATTAAAAGCCAAGAGGTCACATAATAAAACTAGTTAGCAGATGTTTTGGTTGATGTGGTTAATATTGAGAGATAAGATGATTTTTTAGCAAAGTCCTAAATTTAAAAACTGTTAGGGGATCCTTGACCTGTTCCGAGAGCGAGTTTCAGATCTTCAGGCTCTTTATGTGCATGGCGTTCTTGCATAGTGCGAGACTGACTCGAGGGATCACCTCTTTTGTGGATTGGGGTGACCCTTGCTGTTTTGAGTATAGATGGGAAGGTTGAGGATGCTACAGATTTGTTAAACATTGTTGCAATAATGGGTGACAGCTCATGTGCAGCTTTTTTATATATGAATGGTGGCAAGTTATCTAGATCACCTGCTTTGTTTTTTAATGATTTAAAGACGAGTGAGACTTCAGTGGAATTAGTTGGAGCTAGAAATAGAGTATTTGGGTAGTTGCTAGTGAGGTACTCATTCGGCTGGGTATTTGAGCTAGGAATTTGACTTGCTAGCTTTGATTCTACAGTAGAGAGAAGACATTAAATTTGTCGGCCAATGTCTATAGGTTGTATGTGAGGTTCATCTGGCTTAGTTAAGTTTCTCTTTCTATTTCCAGATGGTTCCCAAGAGCCCAAAATTTTGGAGAGGGTTTGC